GCCATGCGCAGCGCCGTCGGGAAAACAGTAGGCAGCCCTCAAACGTTCAGATAGCACGTAGGCCCGCTCATCATCCCCACGAGTTCCCCTGCCCATGCCCCCAGCATATACAAATGACATCAAATGACATTGCCAAAAAAATTTGTTCAGGTTTCATCGTCTTCAACACGAAATGCCAAATTTTCACCCATTGCAGGAACATGCTCTCACAAGGCTGGCCTCTGCAAAAGACCGGTCAGGATGAGCACGTGCCAAACGAGGAACCAGCTGCACGAAGCTCGGACCTGGCCAATCGGAATTGCGAATGGAATCTGACGCAACAGCACAAGGACATGTTTCTGTGCACGCCGCCTTTCCTTTTCTGCTAAGATGGATGAAACATTTCTGGATGTTTACGTGAGCTGCTGGTTTACTCCAGCAATGCGAGAACACAGGACTCTGTCCAGCACATCTGTGCCACGGCGGCTTCAGCCCCAGGCAAATATGAAGCTGATTACTTCAAATACAACGCAATGCCCGATAGGACGGCATCGCTGCAGCTGGTCTTGCACGCAGACCTGTCAGAACCTTCTTACTGAAGAACAGGCAGGTTGGGGTTTTGCATTCGCTAAAATTTCAGCGACATGTCAGGCAGCCGGATGATGGTGATTTTCTTAAACCAACTTAGCAAGCGGATCTTTGCTCTGCGCGCAGGCACAGGAACCAGTGCCCTCTTCACTACCTGTGCACTTGGGCTTTCCTCAAAGTAAAACCCTGGCAAGCGGACATGCTCAAATATTAAACAGGCAAACATCTCGGCTAAACAAAAAGAAAATCCATTTGACGGAAGCCCTCCTTGTCCCCAATGTGACTGTCACGGCATTCACGCGTTGAAACAAGCTTTGCTTAACATAACATCATGAAGCAGCTGCTGGGCCTACACCGACATGCTCACACACTTCATGGAGACAAAGCGGACGCCGGTCAATTTCAGCCGCTTCCCTGCATCCACCTTCTTCTTCTTGTTCTTGTTTGCCAGCGCCAACTCTGCGTTGGACATATTCTGAGCGCTGACCTCAAAAATGGGCTCCACCCCCTCCATCTCGGAGAAGAGCTCTATCCACTTGCGACCGTCTGGTTGCGGCTCCCAAACGGTCCCTGGATCCCCCTTGCTCTTCTTGAAGCTGCCGTTGTTGAAGCACGCGAAATCGATGGAACGCACCTGCTCGTGTGTGAACTGCTTCAGCACCTCGGCCATTTTCTGCACTTTGTTGTCGTAGAAAACCTTGGTCCCCTTGTCCGGCTTCCAATAGACAACGCAGCCGTCTTCCTCATCAGTCTGCGTCCTTAGCCAATAAGATCCCGCCTTGCGACTACCACACCCCACCACCCCTGAAGACTGAAGTCTAGGTCTCCTGCAGACGAAGCCTCAAAAAATCGAGATCCTAAACCCTAAAAACCCTTGGCTCTAGACCCTTAACCCAGTTTAGGGTTTTGGGTTTTGGGGTTAGGGGTTAGGGTTTAGGGTTTTCGGGAACCCTCATACATTCTACTCTATCTCTCTCCCCCCCAGCCCCCACACATCACGAACGTCCTCTTTCGGACAGCCGCGCTGGTGGTCAAGAAGAATGTTTGACCATCCTCCGACTCCTCAGTTTGTTTGATACAGTACCGTATCGGGACTCTTGGATTTGGGATTAAGGGTTTATGGCTAGGGTTTGGGGTTTAGGGCTTAAGACTGAGGATAAGTTTGGGGTTAGATAAGGATATTATCTAGGGGTCAAATAGGGATCTAGGGGCATGGGGATTATTTCCAGGGGTTAGGGATTGTTGAGATGAAGATTGCTGAGGGGTTAGATAGGGATCATTAGAGGATGATGAGGGGTTAGATAAGGATTATCTAAAAGCTAGATAAGGATTATCTAAGAGCTAGATAGGGATTATCTAAGAATTGATTGAGAATGACTAAGGGGTTGCTTACGGTTCGAAGATGCAGGGTTTGGGGTTCCTTTGGAATTTGAAATCTGGAGCTTCTAGTTTTTGTTTTTGGGGTTGAGGGTTGTGCTTAGGATTTTTGTTGTTCTTGAGTTTTGGGGTCAAGGCCTTTACTTCAAGGTTTGTCGTTCAGGGCTTGGAGCGTGGGGTCTAGGAGCCATCTCATCATTGCATTTGGGGCGGTCTGGCAGAACATGAGTTCTGGTGATTTTAGGGTGCAGGTCTGGGGGATGAAATAGAGTTAAGAATTTAGGGCTTTGTTGAGGGTAGTTAGTGTCCTTTTTAAGTAGGTAGCCTGGCAGACGAAGAGAAACTACAAGCCGCTTCCTCCAATTCGATCTACTCAAACAAACCTTTGTTCATATCTTCAATGTAGGGCCACGGGTGCTATCTTGGAATGGTGTATAAGGGGACTACAGGATACTTTATGGCTAACCCCAGTATATACCGTATAATCCCTACATAACCCATTATAGTAGTTTCCATTTTCTTTTCCATTATCCCCATATAACCCAATATATAACTTGGGCTCCTGCCTCGCGGAACTATACACAAAACTCAGCTGCGCCCACAGTCTTCTGAGAGCATCATGTATAATTTAGGATGACCCCCCACCCTGCAATAGCGGTATAATGGGAATATACTAGGACCCTAATATAATCCTGATTATCCCTCACAGTCACTATTACTGGGTGGGGGGTCCACCTAATGTATAATCCGTGATCCTTATCCCCATTCTCTGGATGATCTCCCAAAGATTGTTGCTACATGTTCGCCGTTGAGCCCAGCATAGTGAAGGACAGGGGTTGGGAACTCAGGGGGATATGTGATGATTACGGGGGCCTGCCAAGGGCCCAGGAAAGGCTCGTTTAAAGGAACTCCTCTTGGGCTTGTTTTGTCTTAATAAGGTAAGAATGTGGAGATATATAGGTATATACATATATAGATAGAGGGATTGTATTCCCCTATTCCCTAAAAAGAACCGGCAAGTAAAAGTATGGTGGCAAAATCGAAGGCCATTTTGGGCACCCGCCCTGTACTGAGCTTCTCAGAGGCTGTGCCTTCGTAGCATTCCGGTTTGGGGCTGATGTGAGGCTGTTTTCAATCCTGCACACACAGAACTCAAACACTATTCCCCCACGAACAAACCATGAAATTCCATCTGGCCAGAATCTAGAAAATGCTTCCAGATTCCATCCTGCGAATTTGTCTGAGCCTTTCACCCACTATGCTATCAAAAACTGAAAGACCTAAACCACCCTTAGCCCCAACAAAAAGCTAGACTTCAACCATCTTAAACCCGCGTTAAACCTGAGAGTGGCGATGCTTCGCTCTTCACACGAAGACCAGAAGCTTCCGAACTGTTTTGCGGGGTCTCTAGTACATGAGCCCCAGTCTAAACTCCTAGTATCCCCCTTATAGTAACCCCTATAATACTCACTTATATCATCCCTTATACAACCCCCTTTGAGGAGTTTAGACTACAGCTGACATGGGTGTTTGTCAAAATTATGGCCCCTTTTTGGATCCCTATTATAATACGGCACCTAATATTTAGGGTACCCAAAAAGGGACCATAATTTTGACAACCACCCACATGAAGGCTTATATTGGGGCTCTCCATTTTCAGC